GTCATTGGAGCGGTGGGAATAAGTGCGTTTGAGACGGCTAGGTTGGCACAGGATAGAACACCGTTTAGAGCTCTTGTACATAGGGTCGCTATGAGTTGCAAATGACTCGATGGCACATAACAACAACATGTATATATGTATGCATATGTATGTATGTATGCATGTGTGTGTGTGTGTGTATATATATATACACACACATAAAAATAGACACACAAATGGCTATTCTTAAACATGCCTGTTCTAGTGTGCCTACAAATTCTCAAAGACACTCAAAGAAGTGATCTATAACTTGACCAGGAGTTTCTTGTACTTAGAGAGCCTGCTGTCCCGGCCAGAGGCCTAACCAGTCCCTGGATTTAGCAGACAACTGGGGAGGTGCCCTCTGTCCTTAGGATTGTGTCGAGGGGATAGGAGATCAGCCCCATGGAGGGACCCATGCATCCTTCTAGGGAAGGTCAAGATCATCGAGCTTTGGCCCTAGAACCCAATTCAAGCTTGGGGGAAGTCCCTTCTCCCTCTGAGGATTCCAAGTGAGTTAGCACAAACCAGCATCACACTTCCCCAGGGTGGTGAGAGTACAGATGCTAGGGAAACTGAGATCCAGTGAGGTCACTGGGAGCCAGACCACGCTGGCGTCCAGCCTATTCCCAACAGGCTCCAAGAGCAGGGGCTGGGGCCAGGACTGGAGGAGGGAGCGTGGGGCTGCATTCAAGCCTGCCCCCAACCGGACGACAGGACAGCTTCCATTCTCTGTGCAAAGTGACCATCCAGAGAGATGCTTTCCATTCTGGAACTTTCCAGTGACTCTATAAGGAAAGAAGTCCTTCTGAAGGGGCCCCAGTGCTGTTCATGGTCCCCTGGGACCGGCATCTCACTTGCTCTGCAGGGAGTCAGGACCACGTCATTTCTTTACAAGAAGTTCACTTCCCACCCCTCTTTCCCTCCCTCCCAGGAGTGACAGGATGCGACCTGAGGCCCTTTGCTGTGTCTGTGGCTTTTGGCGGACGCCTGCACTTGGCTCAGGGTCCAGCCAGGAAGCCTGTCCTAATCCTTCTCCCTCAGGGTTTTCCGGCTGCTCAAGTCCCAGCACCGCCCTTTTTCTCCACACTGGGTTCCTCCAAGTTGCTGAGGGAATGGAGGGCCTGGGAATCTACCAGGGATGTGCTTGCCACCCTATCTACCACTTCCTGCTGGACTGAGATGTCCCCAGGAGTCCTCCTGTGGTGGCCCAGACCTCTTCCTGCTGTACTCCTCCAGGCTCAGGATAAGTTACTTCATCTCCAGACCTCCAGTGCACCTCCACTCCTCCTCTTCAAGGCCCCCCATAGTCAAGGGGTCACCAGTCTCACTTTCAAGTAAGTACTTCTCCTGGTCCAGCCTCCAATCAGACACAAGCTCCATCCTCCATCCAATCAGACAGAAGCGCCAGCTTCCAACCGATCAGACACCACCTCCAGCCTTCCTCCCTCACAGCCAAGCCAGCCTCTGCCAGATGCACACCTTTCCCTGTTCCATGACCTCTGGGGCTCTCCAGGTCTTGATGAACTCCCCCACCTGGTTTCTCTCCAGCTGCCCATGGCCCTCTCTGCCAGGCTGCCCCTCTGGAAACCAGCTGTGGCCGGTTTCAAATGTTTCTGCTTTCCCCATGTGGCACCAGTCAGAGAACCTCAATGTTCCCCTTCTCCATCTCCCAGACACCACCAACCTGAACCGACCACCAGGCTAGACCTGAACTTCCCAGCCTCTAATGGGGAAGGTCTGGGTCTCCTGCCTCTACCACCGTGAGCAAAAGGCATAGATCTGAAGGACTCAAGCCCTGAGGCCAGGACCCTGGCCTTTGATGACGGTGGAAAACCCGAAGCCAGATGTTTAAGTATGGTGCAGAGACCATGACCTTGACCCACAACCAGTCCTGGTTATTTCCTATCCATCCTAGAAAGTTCCTGGTTCTCCCCGACAAGGATGATATGGAGACAAAGTCCAGTCCCATCACTGAGCCTCAGAAAGCAGCAGGCTTAGCTTTGAGCCCTGCACTGTGGGAGTGAGGCCCAGAGAGGCCACATCACCACCGGCTCAGACCTGCATCCAGGGCCCCTGTTCACACCCAGATGGCGTGTCTTTGCTCACGTGCTCATGCCCTAGATACACAGGCACTCACGGCCACAGATCCAAGTTCACGCATCTGAATCTGTGCTCAAGCCTTAATAATAATAATAACAATAATAATAACATTAATATTAGAGTGTGTGTATGTGTGTGTATGTGTGTGCTGTCAAATCAGATCTGACTGGTACAGGAGGAGATTGTCCCTCCTTTCCCGGCAGAGCATCTGGTGGATTTGAACCGTGCACCTCTGGGATTGCAGTGCACCTTCTTGCCACTAGGCCACCAGAGCTAGAGCTCCTCTAAGCCTCAAATATTTTTTTAGTGCATCTCTGTGTGTACACCTGCTTGTGTGCAACTGTGTGCTCACGCCCAGTGGCCCCTGTGCTCA